TAACTCACAAAGCAGACTTTTGGCTCACACGACTCCACAGCTTAGAGGGAACATTGTTTGTAATATGTATGAATTTTAAGGCATTTTTGTATATCCTGAATTCTTGTTTTACTGTGTTTTCACTTTTAACGTAAGCCGCCCTGAGCTCGCTTCGGCGGGAAGGGCGGGATACAAATTGAATTAAATAAATACATTAATTAATAAATCACAGATACTTTGGAACTGCTCTCTCTCTCTCTCTCTCTCTCAAACTATGGGGTTCCTCCCAGTTTCAACCCCACCCCCACCCACCCCCTGTTAACATTCTAATGTTCAGTTAAGTCTGGCTGTAGATCAGATGCATCTAAGTGACAGGAGCTGACAGCTCTAAGTGTCTGAAGAGCTGGCTCTAACCGGTTCTGGCTGGTTCCTGGCAGAACTAATTAGCAATGACTCAGCATTGGTCCTGATTGGTCAATGCAAGTATAAGTACAGTGATGTAGAGTAACCCATCTTCTTGTGAATATCTGGTGTCTGCGTGAGCATTTTGTGGGTCTGTATAAAATATTGGTGAAGGCTTGGGTGAATAAACTGTAAATAGCTTTACACTAAGCCTTGAAGACTCAAGTCTTATTTGATACTCACACACCCATGCACACCCTGCAGTGGGCTAGCACCGCGTAACATCGACACCCCCATCGAGCTCCTGGACTCTTAATCCCCCCAACACACCCACAACGCAGTGTTCCCTCTAAGCTGAGTCAGTGTGAGCCAGCTCACAGTTCTTTAGCCTCCGGCTCACAGATTTTTGTCCCGGCTCAGGGAGGACGGGCCAAATTACCTGCTCCTAGCTTCAATGCCAGCGGCTCACCGAGTAGAATTTTTGCTCACAGGACTCCGCAGCTTAGAGGGAGCGCTGCCCACAAGCCCCCCCCGCCCTCCTGGAGCACCCCCTTACCTTTCCTCCAGCTCCTTCTTCTCCTGCGTGCTGGCCTCCAGGCGGCTCTGGCTCTCCCGCAGCTCCCCCAGCAGAGAGGTCACCTGGGCTTTCAGGGAGGCCTTGTCCTCCCCAACTTGCTGTAAAGGGGGGAAGCGTCACAGGTCAGGACCCTCAAAGCGAGGAAGGGGCAGGCGCCCGGCCCATTCTTCCTTCCCAGGCTCAGTGGGGGTGGGTGGCTGCGGCCACGACATTTACCTGCAGCTGCTGCTGGGTCTCTTGCTGCCGGGCAGCCAAGCGGGACAACTCCTCCTGGGCAGTCGCCAGCTGCTGACGAAGGGCTGCCTTCCTGGGGTGGGGAAAGACAGCGTGAGAGGCCAACGACGAGGTGCTGCCTGCCCTAAACCGCGCTGATGTCCTCGATAACATTTTACCGCTCCGGAGCCAGTCGTGGTACCCAGACTGTACGGTTTTTATTAGCCTGCTAAGTCATACTGAGCAACTTGCCCTCTCCACAACCCCCCCCCCCTTCCTGGACAGTGGTATTCCATCCTTTTTTTTAATCCTACACCAGAGGTCCCCATCCTATTTGAGCCTGAGGGCACCAACTGGAATTCTGACACGGCGGGGTGGGGGGAGCCACAACAGGGCTGCCGTCAAAGAACAGCCAGCCACAAAATGGCTGCTCTGGCTTACATTCATAAGAACATCGTCACAGCCCTGCGGGATCAGACCAGTGAGGGTCCATCTAGTCCAGCATCCCATCTCACACAGGGGCCAGCCAGTTCATCTGGAGGGCCAGCAACAGGGCAGGGAGGCCGAGGCCTTCCCCTGATAAAGAACACCAGAAGAGCCCAGCTGGGTCAAACCAGTGAGGGTTCCTCTAGTCCAGCATCCTGTCTCACAAAGAGGCCAACCAGTTCGTCTGGAGGGCCAGCAACAGGGCAGAGAGGCCGAGGCCTTCCCCTGATCAGAACATTAAGAAAAGCCATGCTGGATCAGACCAGGGAGGGTCCATCTAGTTGAGCATTCTGTCTTACACAGTGGCCAACTAGTTCCTCTGGAGGGCCAGCAACAGGGCAGAGAGGCCGAGGCCTTCCCCTGATAAGAACACCAGAAGAGCCCTGCTGGGTCAGACCAGTGGTCCATCTAGTCCAGCATCTCATCTCACACAGCAGCCAACCAGTTGGCCCATCGGTATATTTATTTTTTCAAATAATCCAAAGGGGCAACCAGTGTGCAGTAAAAGAAGAAATGGACGTTCCAGTAGCACCAGATCCACAAGGACACTGTCTTATATCTGGATAAGCCGCTCCCTGGAATCTATCCAGCAAAACAGCAGAGGTAAAAGCATGTACACATGAAACTGCCTTCCACTGAACGGAACCCCTGGGGCCATCCAAGTCAGTACTGTCCACTCAAACTGACAACAGTTCTCCGGGGTCTCAGGCAGAGGTCTAATCATATTATCTACTGCCTGGTCCTTTTAACTGGAGATGCAGGGGGTTGAACCTGGGACCTTCCGCATGCCAAGCAGAGGCTCTGCCACTGAGCGAGGGTCTCAGGTCAAGGTCTTTCTCATCACCTACCGCCTGGTCCTTTTAACTGGGGATGCCGGGGATTGGACCTGGGACCTTCTGCATGACAAGCAGAGGCTCTGCCACTGAGCCAGAGTCTCAGGTCAAGGTCTTTCTCATCACCTCCTGCCTGGTCCTTTTAACTGGAGATGCAGGGGGTTGAACCTTGGGCCTTCTGCATGCCAGGCAGAGGCTCTGCCACTGAGCCAGGGTCTCAGGTCAAGGTCTTTCCCATCACCTCCTGCCTGGTCCTTTGAACTGGAGGTGTCGGGGATTGAACCTGGAACCTTCTGCATGCCAAGCAGAGGCTCTGCCATTGAGCCAGGGTCTTGGGTCAAGGTCTTTCTCATCCCCTTCTGCCTGGTCCTTTTAACTGGAGATGCCAGGGATTGAACCTGGGACCTTCTGCATTCCAAGCAGAGGCTCTGCCAGGGAGCCGGGGTCTCAGGTCAAGATCTTTCTCATCACCTCCTGCCTGGTCCTTTTAACTGGGGATGCCGGGGACTGAACCTGGGACCTTCTGCATGCCAAGCAGAGGCTCTGCCACTGAGCCACGGCCCCTCCCCTCTAGCCAAAAAGAAAAGACCTTCAGTGTTCAGGGAGGATCAGCTGATAAAAGGACCGAAGTGTAGAGGGAGGTACAATAGCAAGAGAAGTAACGTGGCGCGTCTACACCTGCGGCCTCCAAATCTTTGCAAAGCCTGCAGGCCCCTCTGGGATTCTGACACAGCAGGGGGAGTGCAGTCACAGAACAGCTGCCTCGGCTTCCCTTCAGTCACACAGTGAAGTGTCTCGTGCAGTGCTGGTAGCTCCTGCCAAAGGAATGTTTTCAAAAAACCTGCGCAGCCAATCAAATCGCCAGTGGCCAATCAGCGCCCCTGTGGGCGGTGCTGTGGAGTCCGGTGAGCAAAAGTTCTACATGGCGAGCGACCGGCATTCAAGTTGCGAGCGAGCCATTTGGCTGCTGCATACAGTCGCCTGCTGTGGAGCCCTCCCTTCCTGAGCCGAGACAGAAATCTGTGAGCTGGAGGCGAAAAAACTGAGCTAGCTCACACTGACTCAGCTTAGAGGGAAGACTGCTTGCAATTGGTGCGGCCCGCTTTCTAAAAACACTTGGCAGGCATCAGGAAAGGTGTGGGTGGTCACCGTGTCGGGGGAAGCCAGCTCCATGAGCCCCAGCAAGGGGGCCTATCAGAATTCACTTACTCCTCCTCTGCCTCCTTCAGCTTCTGAGAAAGCTGCTCGGTCTGGTCCCCACCGGAGCTCTTTCTGCAAAGAGAGAACAAATGGTGGATCTGTAGAATGCCCTCCAAGTTGAGAGTCAGTTTGGTGTCGTGCTTAAGTACGTGGACTCTAATCTGGGAGAACCGGGTTTGATTCCCCCACTCCTCCACTTGCACCTAGCTGGATGGCCTTGGGCAAGCTGTAGTTCTGATAAGAGCTGTTCTTGACAAAAGAGCCATTTCTGTCAGAGCTCTCTCAGCCCCACCTGCCTAACAGGGTGTCCGTTGTGGGGAGGGGAAGGGAAAGGAGTTTGTAAGCCGCTCTGAGACACCTTCAGGTAGTTAAGGGCAGGGTATAAATCCAATCTCTTCTTCTTCTTTTACCTCGAGTGCCTGTTGTGGGGAGGGAAAGGGAAAGGAGCTTGTAAGCCGCTCTGAGACTCCTCTGGGTAGTTAAGGGCAGGGTATAAATCCAATCTCTTCTTCTTCTTCTTTTACCTCACAGGGTGTCTGTGGTGGGGAGGGGAAGGAGTTTGTAAGCTACTCTGACACACCTTTGGGTAGTGAAGGGCGGGGTATAAATCCAATCTCTTCTTCTTCTTCTTTTACCCCACAGGGTGTCTGTTGTGGGGAGGGGAAGGGAAAGGAGCTTGTAAGCCGCTCTGAGACACCTTTGGGTAGTTAAGGGCGGGGTATAAATCCAATCTCTTCTTCTTCTTCTTGGAAAACCTGTAGGCCAGGTCTCACTTTGCCACTTAGTCAGGCAAAGTGAAACATTTTCTCCACTACACCCCCCCCCAAAGAATCCCGTTTCTAAAAATGCACTGTGTCGTAACTTTAATTGGTAGCAGAATAGATGGCGGCAATATACCCAACTGAATGGTTTGGACTTTATTTTCAGGGAACTTTTTGTAGGAAATACATATACATAAAATGTTTCAGTAACGTCAAGGTGGGCTGCAACATGGGGATGGGGGTTTGTGGTTTCCCTGTAGTGGGTGCA